AGCAGCAGCTGTCACATTAGCATGATGATCCAAGACTGAATGTCAATCATATTTCAGTTTCTGTCTTTGAGACTCCTCACCGTGTTGCTTGTTGTGGTCCCAACGTTGAGGTTTTTGAAGAGTTGTGGGGAGCCTCCATACTGGCCAGCTATCTGTTTCCTGACCTCTGCTGCCACAGTCCTGCAAACAGAGGAGAGGCAGGTGTGGAGAGAGAAAGAAATGAATACAAATATGTGGAATGATATATACACTAGACATAGTTAGTGTAAAGTAAAAAGAGGTGATAATCACAGGTAAAGAAACACAACCATAACATAGCAACGGTTTAGGATACAGGTGATTCTGCAATACACAACACTGAACATGCAGCTAAGATGCATTATGATGAATACTAAGGCAATCTTGTATAACACATACTAATACCTGTGCAACTGAAGAGGAAATGATCCTCCTAAAATGGCTAAATTATGCAACATATACATAATTTAAGGGGGTCCCCATATCGATTACCCTAATGGTTTAAGGCACATACCCTATTACTACAACATCCACGGTTTGATTCCATTTGTCATACCCTTCCTCTTTTACATTGTTTTCTGTCCCTCTTTGTGTCTCTGAAAACTAACTGAAACACTTCAAAGCCAACTTAACCTCACAGTTCAATGAAATACTTTAAATACCCCAAGCACAAGTGACAGCTGGGGTGATATTTAACTGTTATACCTGGGGAACTTAACATTGCAATTAATGTTAACTCAAAGTGGCTTATATTATGCAATTATATTGTACCGTACTGTGAAACTTCACCCTCCCCTTCCAAGCGTGTAGGAGAGCCTACGGTGGCCTCCAATGGCCCTATCTAGAGTCAGTGTTTGAGGACTGTAGAATATTATATTCAATTTCTGCCACTTTCTGCCAATAGCTCCCCCTAAATCCTACACAGTGGTCCTTCAAGTGGCTTAAGTTGTCAAAGGCAAGGCTAACTAACTTTGAAGATTACATTTCTGGCCCTTTTAGGATTTTCTCTTTGTGTCTCTGCTCAGTCTTACTGTGTCGCCTCAAACAGTATTATATATTACACCCAGAGAGAGAGAGAGAGAAAAGAAATAAAAGCCTCTGGACCCCAGTGGTCAGCACAAAGCTCTTGGTTTTCAACCCATACACAGGTCCTTTAAATCACAGCAACCACCAAAACCACTCAGAGACCTTTGCCTTGAACAAAACAACAACGCAGCAAGTAGCCCAAAGTGACACAAACAAATAACAAATTAGAACCAAGGATAAAGGCCAGACACTGAAGACTCAAGGTCATGTTACACAGGTCATACAGACAGAGGCTATAAGGATTCAACAATTATTATGGTTAACTATGTTTTTTCATTACCAAAAAGCTGCCCTATTTCCCTTCTACGTTCTCCATCCTGAAAGCAATATCACAATAACTAGTTTCAAGGTTACTTTAAACTCTTGGACATGATTACAGTAATAATGAACAAGGATAAGGTGTGATCCAGTCAGCGAGGTCGCAAAGCCACAAACGTCTAAGCGAGTCTGGTTTCCCCAAAGCCGCTGTAGTGCTGAGTTCATCACTGTTCCCTCACAAAAAGTACTGTATACAAACAGAAATTACCCTGAAGCCTGAGGCAAGGTTGCGACACAAGAAGTTACCCAGGAAGGTAAAATAAAAACTGCACGGTCCAACTTGTCAGCTTAAGATAACGTAATAATGTACTAGTAGTAGAGAGCCAGTGGCCTCTGCAGTGCAGTGTTGTCACCGCTGGAGAAAGTCAGAAGGACTGAACCGACAAACACATTCCACAGTCCTCCCCGATGTCCCTTCAAGACCTTTACTTAGCACAGAGGAATAAACTTGATTAAACAAACAGCCTCTGTGGCTCGATCTCTTAAAGATGGTAACAACAATTACTCCCAGGAACAAAATATAAACTGGCAGCAATTGAAGAGCATAATATAAGCAAACCATTCAACTGAAACGTGTAAAAAAGCCACTCGCAATTTACACACTAAAGTTTTCCTGAACATGCAACATAAACTCACTTCCATTACTAAAAGTCAGCATGCTTAAACAGCTACAATACAGGCACTTATTTCCACTGCTACATGGACAACATGAGCAAAGAAAATAGTGTCTAATCTGAGTGTTAAAAACAGTGAACATTTTTTTTATCTTTATTCATCCAGGGAAGTTTCACTGAGATTGTTTATATCACAAAGAGCTGCACAATATAATGTCATTTGACACAATGGCCATCTATAAATGTGCCTTTTGTTAAGGTTAGAATTAGGACTGCATAATTAATCAAAATATTATTTAAAAAAACACAATATGGCCAAGGGAAATATGCAAATCACAGAAGCTGCAATTTTTAAAATGTGTGACAAAACAGCATTATAATAAAGTTCTGTAGTGTTGCAGAGATGCCCTGGTCTACACATCTTGTTGTCCAGATGTAAGAAAATATATTGTATATTGTTTCATACAGATCCAAAAAAATTTCACATCCTTGTGATTCTAATAGTTTTTCAATGAAGATTCAATTTGTGATGCAAAAAATATCATTGCAAATCCCAATATCTGTCAAAATAATCGCAATATGATGTTTTTACCATATCGCGCAGCCCCAGTTATAATGTTGAAAAAGTCGTTGTCTTATCTTTATGGAAAATTTTAAAGCCATAATTTGTCATATTGTGGTAATAAGTGGGATTACAAAGTACTGTATGTGCGGTATCACTGCGTATGTTCATATGTTAGCTGACATCTATGACTCATCCGGTCTTGAAAACCTGCCATGAGGAGGGTGCGTTCAGTCTGCATTCATCCATAACAAACTTAGATGTGGTTTGGATTAATGGGAACTGGATACACACTATAATACAAATACATACACTTCCAGTCCTTACACCAACAAAGAAACAGACATCCTTGCATGATCAAAGCAGCAGCAACTTCAGAATCCAGCCCTATAATGTTTGTTGAATGGTTAAACGAACTCGACAAATTGTAAAATGTAAGAATAAAAAAACATTTAAGAACAGGTGCATGGCATTTTGTTATAATCTAGTTTAGAAAATGAAAACAAAAGTGACAGCAGACCCCACCCCCTCCTTCCCAAAACACATCAGATCAACATGATAATCTCTCCAGAAGGGTGTAAAATCTTATTTCATCCAGTTGAGTGAGAGAAAAACTGCAAGAGCAGGCAAATATAATTGTTTTTGCTCAATAACATACCTAAATGACTTGGCTGTGCATTAAGTGATCAGCAATGGCAGTAATTAAAACATTGTTTATGTTGATAGCTGTGAGGAGACGACAGTGCACCTCTATCAGATCTACCCATCTTTATATCTATCTATCGTCTGGGATGATGGCATTTGACAGCTAGCACAAAGCCCTTTGTTAAAGAGATTACTTTGATCCGTCTGAGGGGCGGGGAGGAGATTATAATATCGGCATTTGATAGCCGCTGAGGGAGACTTTTGTTCCCTGTCTTACTGTATAACAAATACCTGCCCTCTCATGTCTTTCTTTAAAACAAAAAAAAACTCTCCAAAGTTCAGTCCACATCTCTTCCAGTGTCACTTAGCTGCTCCTCGTTAGCTACTGTAGGCAAGATGGCAAGCTAACTGCACAGAATTAACGGTTTTCAGTAAACTGTAAAGTCCTGAAAGATTACTGAAAACCCGACTCCTGTTTTAGTCAGGGTTGATTTAATACACCCAAATAACATATCGCGAAAGAAAAAAAAACAAACAGGGAGATAGTAAGAGAGACAGTTAGCTGTCTGTCTGTCTGTCTGTCTGGGTGGGTCTGAGCAGCATCTTTGCCGATATGGCTAACAAGCGGCTAGCTTCGGAGCAGCCAGGCTGTTGTGGTAGCTGGGCCTCCTTCACAGGGTTCCTCTCAGCAGAGGTCTGAGGGCGACCTCAATACAGGCGACGTTTCGGGGTCTTGAGTCTTTTACCTGCTGATTTTCTGGGCGAAGGCGCGGCGTTCAGCCATGGCAGTGGCCGCTGATGTGCTTTCACGAAATTCCCAGGCAGGCAGGCTGCAGGCAGGCTCCGATTTCCACTCACTCACTCACTACGGCCACAGGGAAAACTGGAAAACGGGGAGAGAATGGGATCGTTACCGTAGTGACCGTAGTTGGTGCGCAACGGAACACACCCAATGAAAAGCCGCTGCGCATTGTGCTGTGAGGAATAAACATTTAAAGTATTTTATATTACAGTCACCATAATAAACCGTTAAATTATTTATACCGAAATGCGTTAGTACTGAAAGAATAGGTTAAATCTGTCCATTATTTCTCCTTTAAATCAATTCCCATGCTTTAATTGAATTTTAAACTTTATTTGATTTTACCTGGAAGATTAGACATTCACCTGATAAAATATTAAATGTATCTTATCCTTTTTTTTTTTTAGACATATGCAAAATAAACACAATATAAAGGATAAATTCCTATTTTAAATAAAAATTCTAACTGATTTCTCAAATTAATAATAAAAATCTAAATCCCCTTTTCCCACTCGTCTGATTTGGAAAAAAAAAACAACTTAAAAACTAACTATGATCATAATTGCATGACCATAATTGATAAAAAAATAAAAATAAAAAAATGCTTTTATGATTTGTACCGTCACCATGAATGTGTTACTCTCAGATAAACTTATTTTCAGATGAGCACTAACATACCATTGGAACAGCAGCGATGTAATGGGGGGAATAATCATTAATGTGGCATAGCTGCGCCTGTGGCTTTTTATTCGTCGCCCTGCCTTCATTACAACAAACGGCGCTTATTTTATTCACCGAGAACAACCCAAACAGGCGGCGTGTTCACTCAAGACACCGTGAGAGGTCGGGGAAACGACTTAAACCCCGCCCACTCGGGCTACTTTGGTGACATAAATCGAGCCTTCCCCCTTCCTCCGTTCCGAACCGGCGGAAATACCTCAAGATCACGTGACATGGTCCTTCTACTTCCTCCATGTACACATTGGCGATCGCAGGGCGGTGTTAAATTACACAGCTGGTCATGGGCGACACACTGTGTGTTAAATGATCTCATATCCACATAATGTGACGGGTTGAGTCGCACGGAGCTCCAAGGCGGCTGTGGCTGGAGCGAAACACCGCCTGTAGCGAAGCTCTACGGTAACGACGTGCCCAGTTCAATCTGAGATGTAATGTAATGTGTCAGTGTGAAGTGATACCTTACTGTGTCTGTGTGTGTGTGTGTGTGTGTGTGTGTGTGTAACTGTGTGCACCAGAGTTTAAAGGCTGTGTGGGAATGGGTTCCAGTCCTTTCTGGTCCAAATGCAGAATAAAGGGAGCGACGAGGTGGAAAGATTGAGGACAAAGTTCTTGTCAGTGTGGCACAATGTGAAGTACAGTAAGTAATTTATTTGCTTGAGGTCAGTACACACACACACACACCCAAGCCACCCAAGCTTAGTCCTCTCTGTCCACTTTGTTTGTACTGCTTTTCATGCCTCACCGCTGTGCAGTTTCAACCTGTCGATATAGCCCACAATCTTATTTTCTTGCCTTGACTTAATTTGAATTAGGTTATCTGCACTCTGTATTTATAACAAACGATCAGCAATAACATGCACAAGTAAAAACCAGCATCAGAATCTAATGAGACAAGAACCTACTGCTGTTGAGTCAGCCCTTAAAATAGTTATTTGTCATACTGTCCACACTGGCTTGTGTGTAACACTGCCTTTTATGTACCAGGAAGTAAACAAAAACATAGCACTATAATAGGCAGGACTCTTGAGAGCGATCCAGAATATTGAATGATGGGTGTTGTAGAGTAAATAGAACGTCTCAGAGTTTGTTTGTTTGTTTCAATCATCAACCAAACTTCTTTTTTTTTTTATTGTGTATCTTAGGTTGGGCGTTGAAATCAAAGACCTCATTCAGTAGAAATTCCCCCGTGCTTCTCCTTGGGAAATGTTACCACTTTAAGGCTGAAGGTAGGTGTACACCCATATGCACAAACACATATAATTACAATTCAAAAGCACACTGACTGCATTCCCTGTAATGACATTCACACGCTTACATAACCATAAATACTGTAACAGTCATATGGGGTCTGGTGAGCACAAGTGAAACATTTACCAAACACTTCATTATGTTGATAGCAGACCAAATATCATGATGACAAAGCAGTGTAGCACCAATATTAACTCGTAGCCATTCAGGCCATTAACTGGGGAATCTTTGCCTCAGTAGTTATTGTCAGATAAGCACTTTGCACTCTGTTAGGAGTAAGCATAATCACAAATATTTAGGTTGTGAAATAGTGGGAAAATCTTTTACTTGTGTCATTATTATTTTGCATGTTACGGACCTTTGAAAAAATTCCTAGAAAATAAAAATGCCCACTTATGCCCAGACTTATCCGACTTGACATAACGCAAAATTATCTAAATGGCACATTTCACACTCATGGTAACCCAAAGTGCTTTACAGAGTTTATGAGCAAAAGCACAAACAAAACAAAAAATAAATGATTAAAAACAATACAAGCAAAAGCAAAACAGAAATAGGAATCTTAAAATTGATGAGCCGGTAGATTTATTATCTCCGTATTGAGTTTTGGACTCCTGGAAAAGTTAATTGCAAATCCTCATGCAGTGTCTCATGTCATTCATTTGCCTCAGATGATGACAGTCCTACAGAAGCCTGCCATGATCCCTTTGATGAGGACGTCATGGGGAATGTGGAAGCTTTCCGCAAGGATTTCGCGTCCCGAGTGTGGCTCACCTACAGGGAGGAGTTCCCTCCGCTGCCCGGCTCCAGCCTGACCTCCGACTGCGGCTGGGGCTGCATGCTGAGAGCCGGGCAGATGATGCTGGCTCAGGCACTTATCCTGCATTTTTTGGGCAGAGGTGAGTGGAATGACGGTGTGGTACCTCACCTGTGTTACAGTAAAACCCCTTGCAGTGATCTAACAAGGTGTATGAAAAATTCTAGGTGTAAAATTTTGGTTGTGGCAAAGGAAACTAGTATATGTACCTTATTTAACGGTGATTGTTAAAGAGGAGAGGATATTTGGAGATACGCCTAATTATAAAGAAATGGCAACTGTATAATGGACTACAGATGATTTCTGGTTAGGTCAGATACTGAGTTAATTTTGGAGAGCTCTACACCTGTATCTTGTGTTAAGTTTCTCTATTTCCATTCACTTCAGTATCTCTCTCTGTAAGCCAGAAGACTCATGTTGAGAGTTTCCACGTTCTCGACCGAAAAGTCAGAGTTTAATTTAGTTGATGCAAGGCATTTAAGATGAGTGAATTCCTCATATCTTTGTCAGATCTATCGTCTCTGAAGTGTCCTAGACTTTATGGGTCCACATAATGAGATGACTGCCAGTTTAATGCAGTCATTTAGAAAACAATATTTAAAACTTGTTCTTCTGTCAAATCTAAAATATGTCACTAATGAAATATTTCTCTATAAAATGACTAATGGCCACTTAAATATATTTATTGATCAATTTCACTTTGATTCACTTTTGGATCAAGGTCATTTTGTTAATGCCTTACACTCCACTCTGGCCCATTTTATTGCCTGGGCCACTCCCTTTCTCTCCGCCTTTGGCTCCCACCCTGTTTGTAAGGCTAAGGCACAGTTAAAGTGAAATACTGGGACACTCAAACTTATAATTGAACAGAACGACACCTATTCTGTTACTGAAGCGCACAATGTTCTGTCTGTTTAAGGCAAAACCTTTAATTTCACAAGTTCTGAAAGACTTTTTGTTCTTAGTAGTGATGCTCTAACTGGAACTTTGATGTGTGGAATGATCGGGTTCAGAGATCTATAGATATCTGATATCTCTTTCATTATTTTCTATTACTGATACCAAGTTTTGAAAACCTGTAGGCTTTCCTTACACTACAAGACCCTTTTTTTCTGTATGAATTGTTATAATTGTAATGCATGAATCTGTTTTCTGTGTTGTCGTGTTACGGCTGATTTTAACCCATCTATCATATCTCTTTAATTTACATCAGTTTACTCAAGTATTGAGTTTTGTCCAAGGTGATTTTGAGCAATTCTTAAATCAGGATTAGTATTATGTCAAGAAACTCGTTTTCCAAATGTTTTGGTCATTTTTTGCTTGACGAATATGTTTTAAGCTAATAACATTTGAATCCATATGAGAGGATTGTAGCTGATGTTGGATACATGATTTATTCCTCCACAGACTGGACCTGGTCAGGGGCGCTGGCGCTCCAGCCTTTAGACACAGAGACTTGGACTACCACTGCAGCCAAGCGTCTGGTAGCCTCTCTGGAGGCATCTCTTCAAGGATCCCCCGGGCCCTCCGATCATGGATCCCCACCCGCGCACTTTGCCCAGGCCCCAGGATCTGCAGAGGAGGCAGATGCACATTTGAAAGACATGTACCACCGCACTCTGGTATCCTGGTTTGGGGACAGCCCCTCAGCTCAATTAGGCCTCCACAGACTGGTCCGCTTGGGCCTGACGATGGGGAAGCAGGCAGGGGACTGGTATGGGCCGGCTGTCGTGGCACATATCCTCAAGTAAGTCTAATTGTAGTTACTCTAAAATCAAACTTTTTGTACATCCCCCACAACCAACATAATTTAAACACTTTAGGGCACAACAATTATACTTATTTTAGTTAATTTTAGATTAATATGAAATGAAGCAAGCAAACATTTATGTTAGAGAAGCTGTAAGCAACATATTTTACATTACTAACATAAACATTAGTTTTATTTGATACACTGATTGATTATTTAAGTCATGTAACAAAATGTAATAATTTCTAGTAAAACTAGTAAAAAAACAATCGCCGACAGCACTATTAATGTTGATGTCCCATTACCTCATCCAGAATTTTCTGGTATGGATATAAAGTACCTAAGTAAGGAGGGCAACGGTAGCAAAACATTGGATTAAATAAATAAAAATAAAATGCTGATATTACTAGAAACCAGCAGGATTTTCATAATTTCTTGTTGAACTGTGCATGTTCGAAGTGACATAATTATTACACTCTCTAGAAAGTCTGGGCATAGCTGTGCTGTAGGGGCAGTAAACTTTAATCTGTCTGTTACTGTATGCTAATACATTTCTAGCATCTCACTCATTCAAATTTTCAACAGATGCACAGATCCGATACTAGTTATTGTTGAATTGGTAATATCACTGTTTTTAAGTTCATGGTAATATACAGTATGTATAGCCCTGATGTCTAATTAGCATAAGCTGTGCATGTAAACTCATAAAAGCTGCTCTCTTTCTCTGCTCTCTCTCTCTTAGGAAAGCTGTCGAGGAAGCGATGGACCCTGGCTTGGCGGGTATAACTGCTTATGTCTCCCAGGACTGCACAGGTATGAAAGATGAGCCTGCTGTTGATAAAACAGGATACTGGGCACAACGCCCAAACTGACCCTTCTTTTTCCAACATCTCTCTGTTGCTGGGAGACTATGGAGCAGCTTTGAAGGGTGACAGCAGTCTCGCTGTGTCTATTCCCCAACAAACACATCCACTACAAAAATCTATAACGTCCCACTCCAACCTCTTTTTAACCCCAATAACTTGGGTTTTGATTCACATTTGTCTTCTCAATAGCCAGAGCAGAAGGTAGCTGGAGTGAGAGCGAGTGTTTTGGTGTGTTAGGAGTTTGATATGAGAGTGAACTGAGTGAACCATGACCATCTATACCTATTGGAATTGAAGGCTGAAACAATTATTCAATTAATCAACAGAAAATGACTTATAAATCATGTCTTCATCATCATGTCTTTGTTTATCATGCACAATTTCCTGCTTCTTAAAATTTAAGAATTTGCTGCCTTTCTCTGTTTTGTATCAGTATAAATTGAATCTCTTGGGGTATTGGATGGTTGGTCACACAAAACAAGCTATTTGGAGACATTACCATGGGCTCTGAGAAATTGTGATGGACATTTTGCTACATTTCTGGTTGGATAAATAATTGTTAGTTGCAGCCTGAATGGAATTACTTTGCAATTAGACTGTGTTTGGACTGAGCAAAAACAGGGCATTTATTATATATATTTTTTAAATCAAAAATAACATTTTAAAAAGATCATGATTGGGCGAAAAGAGAGATGAGATAATTTTAATGTGATATACTGTGATATATTTCTCGTAGGCAAAAACTAATTCAGAAACCAGCAACGGTTAATAAAAGACAGGACTGAGAGCCTGGTGAACACACAGAATGGCTGATAGATTGACTGACTGACGGATAAACAGGGCATTTGACCTCTGTGCTATTGATCCTCCATAGTGTACAGTGCTGATGTCATCGATAGCCACAGGGCACCAAGATCAGGGCAGGCCTCTCCTGAGAGGTCAGATGCCCCTCCCTCCCCACAGATCGACCAACCACTGTCTGCCTCCACCCTGCCAGACAACCGGGCTGTCATCATCCTCGTCCCTGTGCGACTGGGAGGCGAGAAGACAAACCCTGACTATTTTAACTTTGCAAAGGTGAAAGACCTGGGGTCGTTTTTAGTCAAACATACTTTTTAGAACTCTCTTTTAATCAGATTTTATCTTTTGGTGTTTGATCACAAGGTTTTAGATGTGTGTGTGTATATATATATATATATATACATACATACATACATACATACATACATACACACACACACACACACACACACACACACACACACACACACACACACACACACACACACACACACACACACATATATATTTTAAACTCACCATTCCCCATATTCCCCACTTCCCATTTACAGGGACATCTAAAACCTTGTGATCAAACACCAAATGATAAAATCTGATTAAAAGAGTTCTAAAAACTATGTTTCTGACAGTCATTGAAATATAACATGTCTGAAACAAAAGGAAAGTATGTAGGCTCCCAGTGAGACGTACTTTGTATTTCTCTGTCCCTCTTCCTGCATTTAGAGCATACTGAGTCTGGAGTACTGCATAGGCATCATCGGAGGGAAGCCCAAACAGGCCTGCTACTTTGTAGGATTTCAAGGTTAGTGTTAGCGTAATGCAAAACAGAGAAAGACACACAGAGAGCGGTTGGTGTGAATAGCAGATTATTTTGCATAATATACCCTTCTTATGTGAAGAGACAAAGTAAGTTAATGTATTCCTGTTTGCGTGAGGAAAACGGAGAGGAGTGGAGATGGAAGCAAGTGAAGCAGGGCTTACTTTATTCTCTCTGACCCATCAAAGCCTCACCCATTTATCACGAGTAAACCTCCCAAGTTGTGAGCTGTAATTGATTTCCATAGGAGGCATGCATTAAATTTCATCTGGGCCCCAAAGTGAGCCACTCTTCATCACCTTCAGGAGCCAGGAGGAACCTTCAGTTGTACATCTTGGCAGTCAATATTTACGCATTTACATTTTACCAATTTGAAATACAGTGGTGGATGATGTCTAAATGACAAGCAATACATTCTCCCTGCCAAGGCGCAGCTCAGCACAGCATTTATCATATGCAAATGGTCAAATATAATTGCATGTTTGTAAAAGTAATTCCCCCACACAAAAATTAAATGACAACCTCTTTTTTGTGGGTGTAAAGAATGTGCTTGTACAAACGCATCTGATTATGCAGAATTTAATCCACCCTGGTGGATATTAAAAAGCAACAACCTTCTGGGAGGCATATTTGACGCACACAAGCCTAACAGTAGGCCAAGCGAGTGACTTTGAGCTACTCTGCATAGAAATTGGAGAGAAGCGCGTTTTTGTAATAATCCGATGTTTTTGAATAACTTGTCTTTTGTTTTGTCCTTGCAGATGACAGCTTGATTTACATGGACCCTCATTACTGTCAGTCTTTTGTGGATGTCAGCACCAGCGATTTCCCTCTCCAGGTAATGTGAAATTACACAGACGAGCTGACTGGGGCCCCAGTAATGTGAATTTAATAGTTTCTGTTAGTACTTAAGGGTATGAATCTTAAAGCAGCCCTCGGCCCAATTACTGAGTCCCTATCTGCTGATTTATTTGCTGCTCAGATGTGTGAAGCTGCCACTTAAGAGAAATACGGCAAATACCGGATCAGGTACCGTGAGCCTGAATATTTCAGGACCCATACATAAAAATCAGCACACAGCAGTGTATAGCAACTTTGTTTTATGCTTTTGCATGCAGTGGTATACAATGTGACAACACACCAGAGTTGTAAATTTATGAATGCTGTGACAGCAGATAAATAGGATTTCATTCATCAAATGATGCAGAATACATCTTATTTGCCGTTGACGCTGCCATGGAGTGTATGTATCCCCCGCAGTTGTTGTACATTATCTGGTCCTTCAGCTTGATGAATATTTTCTGATGTATTTTGTGTCTTTTTGTCTAGTCATATCATTGCCCCTCACCAAAGAAGATGCCTTTCAGCAAGATGGACCCAAGCTGCACCATAGGTTTCTACTCCAGGAGTGTTCAAGACTATGAGAGAATCAGACAAGAGCTGTCCAAGGTAGGGATTCGGACTGCCTTAACATAAGATGTCTCAAAAGTAACTTCACCACTGCCAACATTTTTCACAATTCTTATTATTGTTGTTGTGGTTATCATAATGCTATATTAATTCTGAATTGAGTCCTGAAAATATGTGGTCAGTCTGATAAAAGTCTACCACTAGGTGGCACCATTTAGCCATGAATCTGACATTTCTTACTTTCTCAAACCAGTCAGCATGTTGGGTAGATGTTGTAAACCAGAGTCTTCCCTCCTTGAACCCATCATGCTTCTGCTTAGAAGACTCTAGAAATTGTATTAAAATGAATATACTGTAATTAAGAGAGAACACATATGGTGCAAGACGATGCCCCTTATTAGGCTATGTGATGAAATTCAAAGCAAACTGTTGTGAAATGTACAGTATGGTGTAACACTAGCACTCCCCTGAAACACTGGTCTGTTGTTGTTCCAGGTGCTGCAGCCGTCGGCGAAGGAGAAATATCCCGCGTTCACTTTCGTGCAAGGTCATGGCAGAGATTACGACCTGTCGGCCGGCCTGACCCCGGAGAAGAGAGAATGGCCCTTCATCCGTGACCCACGGAGGACGGTCACCACTGCCGGGGACTTTGTGCTGCTTTGACAGCGCTGTTTAAAAGACTAGAACAGACAGAGAACTTCTTTTAATGAATCCAACTGCTTGACATCCAAAGCCTCGTGTCTGAGCCTTATGTGACACTGAAGGTTATGGAATTTTTCTAAACTACAGTAATTCAGTTAAAACATCCTGGAAACAAGCAAGGAAGCACTTTTTGCCAAAACTGTTACTAACTGGTTGGACTTGTATTTCTAGTAATGTGAGCTTGCTGAACATTTTGTCAGGAAGCCTCAGGACATTGTTTTTGGTGCTCTGCTTAATTTAACAACTTCAACTTTTTCATATACGCATCTAGTTAGGAGGAACATCTATTCATTTTCCATAGTTATTTTATGGACTTGAGACAAGCTGTTGCTAGCATCTCCATCAACGTACCAGATTGTGTCCAGTATTTTTTTGTACCTTACATCATGTTCAAGAAGTCTCAAAGGGCTTTGCTTATAATGATCAATTAGGTCCAGTTGAGCACTCCAACGTCGACATGCTTTGAAGGCCAACAGATAGTAACTATAGAACAGTCATAGAGCAGTAGTAAATATGACTAAAATTAGTGTTCGCCCACTTTAAAATATTTTCATAAGGCTACAGCTATAGTATTTAGAGTTTTGTATGTGTTGTAAGCGTGCTTAGCATTAGGCGAAGAGGACTTTTATAAAAGCCTTAATTAATATGCACGAAGGGCTCTCTCAAGATTGAGTCAAGTAACTTCTCCAAACTTCTCTGCCAAAAACATTTCACCGAACAAGATGACTTTTCCACCTCAAAAGAAGCATATGGGACACATGCTCTGAAGGACACCTTCTCCATAATTCTGCCAACATTTTATTTACACTAGAGCTCATTTCTGTCTCTGAGCAATAATATATGATGTTGTGATTTATATCATTGTTTGCTCGCCCTGGGGTGTTTTTGGGTTTAATCTTGACTGAGTTATGCATCACAGTGCAAGTGACCAGTGGTGAGGAGAGTTTGTCAAAGGGATAATGTCATGTTTACGTCTAAGCACTATCTGTTATAAATTATTCTTTAGATTTGCTTTGTATGTCTAACACAGAACAAACAGCATCTGAATTTAGAACATTAAAAAAATCTTTTGTCGGGTTCAGGGAATTACAATATGTACAGTATAGTAGAGGTGAATTTAATTGAAATAGCAATCTAGCCACAGAGACATGATATATTAGCCCTCCATATCAATATTATTATTTCTATATGCTGTGTGCAATACTGTGGCCAGCATTTTTTAATAAGTATTTTTTCATAGAAATCGATTTTCGAACATTTCATATTGTGTTTATTACCATATTTCCTACTGATGATTTGACGAGTGACTGAAAGATATATTGTTGTTTTTACGAAACACTTTTTAACAAACTAGTAGTGGAGAAGTACGCCAGAATACATGTTAAGCTATCAAACTTGATCATGCACTTTGATTCATTACTTCACAAACACTGAACTATTCAGAATCTTTTTCATGTGCTTTTCTGCTTTATAACACCTGCATGTCTGTTTGCCTAAATGAACTTACAAAATGTGTCTGTAAAATGTTTTTGACACTGCCAGGCAAAAAAGTTGAATAAAGTCAACATATTTGACTTTCTTAATCGGCTTGCTTCTTTTTTTGTCCACTTGAAGAATTTGAAGCGACTCTCCTAGAATGAAAAAATGGTTTGCTTCATTTTCAGTACTAGAAACAAACCTCAGTGGTGTGTTGAAATGTATTCAATCCCTTTCTCTCCCAGTCAAATGTAGTAGATTAAAACTAATCGTACGTGCTAACCATCTCTACAGCCCATTAACCAGGGACCGGAAAAAATGTGACCCAGTGACACTGGCGGCAATTGTGTTCCTCTGTGGAGGAAAAGAAAATATCCTTGTGTGCAAAGCTCTGTTACCATGGATAATCTGTGTGTTGCCCTCTTAGTTTGAGCTATGCCGGACTGTTTTCCTGTACAATACAAATTCTTGTATTATGATGAGCTGTGCTTTTTAAAGGAGGGAACTGTCCCTTCTGTGAGGGAGCCAGGGCAAGGGTGAGGATGGATGGACAGAGAGGAAGAAGAATCCCTCATCTGTTCTCTTCTCTACCATGGAGAAGCAATGGCAAAACACATAAAGGCATCATTTAGATCCCCTGTTTGATCTGTGTGTCCGTCCGTGTTTTTTTTTAGTGGACAGTCGACCGGCTGTGTGGACAGAGCGGGAACATCAAGTATGCAGGAGCAAAGGACCCGCGACATTCTCCAACTTCGGAAGATGGAAAGGAAGGGTTGGATGGACAGGAGGGAGGCGTAGGGAGGGGATGGGACATTTGGGGATTTTTGTCAGAAACATGAAAGAGCATTTGTGCTGGGGGGCACACAGCGCTCTGAGGGTTGACTGTGTTCTCCATGTATTTACAGGGGATGTATGAATATTTGATTAATGAGTCACAGGCTCAGGGGAAATGCAATAAGCGAGTGGTGGCTTTACAAAGCAAGCCGATCACACACACACACACACACACACACACACACACACACATACACCATGCCCTCCCGTTTAACACAGCTGCCTAAAGTGTCATTGACATTGCAGATTCCTGAAAATCTAATCTGCAGCCGAGCAAATTCCTCACAAAGAGGGAGTCCATCAGTGTCATACGTCTGTTCCACAGACGGATGGACGGGGAGTGTGTGGGTGGAGGAGGGGGGGTTGCATGTAAAGACTCAGAGACGCCCAATAAAGATTTTATTTTGGTGTCATCCACAGCGGGAAATGGCTTGTGGCATGTAGCCCTTAGAGGGGTCAACAGTAAAAGAGCTCAAGTAAGCCCTTCTAATATCTACCTGTATTTAGAATAAACCCCTGATTATGTCTAGTAATACAGCTTTCACTGGGACAAGGAGATCCACAAATCAAAGTTGTGATCTGAGCATTTAGGTTCTTAGGAGGTGGAGTTCTTAGATGTTATCCTCAAAATATTACAGAAAATGGGAAAGAAAACTGGGTACAGAAGAACATTTCCTATCACTTTTATTCAGTTTCAATGAAATGTAGGATGTAATGAGACATTTTGAGTTAATTTGCCAACAACCTGAAAGTTAAATAATACTGTATAAACAAGCAGATCCCTCAATGTGAGTGCCTGTCATTTAACATTAATCGTATAATTCTACTGTGAAATTAATGGTATGGACATACATAATGCAAGAAGGTGCTTCTTAATGTGTTACTACTTTGCTTCCAGGCCTATGGAAGCTACACATATTCTCCATGCTGAGTGGGGTGTCTAAAGCTTTGTGAGTCTCATGCACACAATGTCAACGTATAAAACAATTCTCCTTTCCATGACAATATAATCAAATTTGTGTCATTTAGCTGTACTCAGGAATATGACTGTGATACACCACAAAGTGTCGTTTCTATTCCCTCTTAACCCTGTGGTTCTCAGGATCTCCTCCAGCCAAGATCAGACCATGATGGATGACACCGAGAGCATCCAGGAGAATTAGATTTAACAAAAAGGGAAAGACACAGGGGAAATGTGTGTGTGATGCTGTGTGGATGCTAAAGTGTCCGGTCTTCCATTCATAGGTAGTGTGTAAATTTATGTGGATGAGTGTGTAGTTTACACATGTACGGCTTGTGTGTAAGTCATTCTAAATCTTAGGTGTCACACTCCCTCCCTGTCTTCACACCAGGTGCAGGGGTGCTAGATTTATACCCAGTAGCCCTTGCCCACCCTTGTGGAATGCCATGCATCTTCAAACAGGTACTTCACTTTGAAATCTCATCTCAGCGCGATATCTCTGGGCGGCTAAATATATCCGGCTCCCGGATCCCGCAGCCGTCGGAGCGTAAATACCGCCTGCGCTGCATCAGACTGCATTCAGAGTCTCAAGTCTGTCCACGCAACTGTCCACGTGTCTCCACCCGTCTCCTTCTACCAACTCACCCCCATCTATCCTGTTCACAGGAGCTCCTGGAGAAGTGCTGAGGCATTGCATGCCTCGCACATCTCTTCTGGGTTAAAGCCAGACACATGTCATGATGCTGTGATTAATCAGCACCACACAGGACAGGAGTTTTAAGGGTGCTCCACTATGTGAACATGACCTCCCATACATATTAGGTCAAAGGTTATTCAACTTTTTTCCCCACAGGACTCAAACAGGAGAAACATATTTTCAGCCTTGCTAAACTGGCTTTTCTTGTAACGAATCCTTTTTAAGAATCACACGTGCATAAATGATTGTACATTGAAACATTTTAACCTATCCAAAATAAATGCAGTGAGAGGTAGGTGAACTTCTTGTGAATATATGGTTAGTTATATTATTATTGTTAATAACTATTCTAATTAATTATTCCAAACAAATTATAATTTAACGCTAACAAAATGTTGTTGTTTTTTTAAAGGCATGTGAAAAGCATTCTTAATGTGTTAATAATACAGAAATAAATAAATAAATACATTTCCCAGACTGAGCTCATTCCTTTGTGGCTCCAGCTCATAGGGACCCTGAATGAGATGAATGGTTTAGGCCAACAGAAGATGCAATGAGTTCCATTGGTTTGAATTATTATGGTTTATAAATCAAACATCTGAATATGACAGGATCCTGGTCCTAAGCCAACAATTTTATTAGAAGATGGGAAGCTACTGTGAAATTCTAACTTTAGAACTTGTTGTCACCAAGGAGGAGATTACATTAGGTCTGATAAAAGCATCTTCTGAGTTGAATCAATTGTAATTATTTTTGACGTCACTTCTTGATGTCACAGCACCTAAAGAGTAGTGTCGGTGCAAACAACCACTATCTGAATTGAAATTATAAACTTGTCTTGGACAGGAAAGGGGAGGAGAGAGAGGGGGCATGACATGCAGCAACAGGCCACATCTCGGATTCAAACCTGTGGCTGCTGCAGTAAGGACTCAGCGTTGGTACGCGGGGTACCAGCTGCACCGGGTTCATTCATTATTTCATTCTTATTCATTTAGATTTAATATGAAGAGGATGAAGTGTGAAAATTCCTCCTTTCCATTACTTCACTTTTTACTAAATAATGCAGCAAAACTCAAAAGAGGAGGTTGAATTTGCTTTTCACTGTGATTAGTGTGCATCAGAGTCTTCCTCTATTCCTACTGAGAGGGGTGTGCCATGGCAGAGGCCCAAAGCAAAGCTCCTCTCCTTGTGTTGGCTAACCTCGTCCGGCTGTGACAACAAGAAGGGCACTGGAGTTAACATTTAGATAACGGATGTGTGTGCCGCTTTCGATTTCCATTCCTGGTGACAGGGAATCTTAGGAGCACATCACGGGTTGTGTTAGTGTGTGTGTGTCTGTGTTGGGGGTGGGGGCACTCCAGTGTTTCCTGCATCTCAGGGGTGATGTGGAGGAACGCCGAAATTCCTCATTCTGCTGTCCTCTGAGGCATGGCCGGCCCTCTGTCAGCTTTTACTAACCAGATGCATCCGAAACGCGCACCGAGGCTGAAGGCAGGGGATATTGCCTGCTGTGTAGCTGTCGACTTGTTTCTTATTGCATGCCTGTGTTGAGCAGGGTGGCAAGTGTGTTGTGTGTATGTGTGAACGGGAGGGTGGAGGTTAGGAGGGTGTCAGCCTGTCTCTGTGTGTAAATGTGTGTAGGAAGACATGCTATGAATTTAAGAGTGTGTATCATCCGCCACACACACACACCATAAGTCTTAGCTCTACCCGACTCTTGGATTGTAACTAGAATCAGTCTCTGCAATGCTGTGGCCTGTAAGTTTGGTCTAGTTAGTATTCCCCTCTGCCTAATGACAGTGTGTATGTGTGTGATTTTAAATGAGTGTGTGTGACAAAGAGAGATAAATCGAGAGAGAAAAACGGAGAGAAAGCCATGTTTTCTTGTGTGTGCATATGTCAGTGTGTGTGTGTGTGTGTGTGTGTGTGTGTGTGTGTGTGTGTGTGTGTGTGTGTGTGTGTGTGTGTGTGTGTGTGTGTGTGTGTGTGTGTGCGCGCACGCGCGTGTGGGTTTGTGGAAGATCTCCTCCATCCTGCAGATTTGTGTCTGTGTGTGATACTTTGCAATCTCATCTCCATCTAAAACTCCTGCAGGCCCTGTGCACCATTATCACGCAGTTGCAATAAAACCCACAGTAATTAAAGGGGATCTGGCTGTAATTGCCTCAGTGAATCAACTTAATCAGCACCTGTGCTCACAGTCAACCTAATGGTGCAATCTAACCTTTTAATACCCCAGAAATTAGAATTGTAAAAAATTATACACCTGATAATCATTCTGTATTTTGAAACTCTTGAGTGGACAATGAGTGGACCATTGTCCAAGGCAAATATTAAAACTGCAGTCTGCTGAGTGCGCATATGAGAGTGAAGTGTGTGTGTGTGTGTGTGTGTGTGTGTGTGTGTGTGTGTGTGTGTGTGTGTGTGTGTGTGTGTGTGTGTGTTTGTGTGTGTTTGAGAGTAAGACAGAGACAGAGAGAGAGAGAGGCAGGATGAGGACATGCTGACATGCTATAACTAAGTGTTCATATTGGAATGGGAACGATTAGTTGACTTATCTATTAGTTTAGAAATTAGAAATTTAAAAGATTTTAATGTGTTTTAAGTGTATAATT